ACAACCCCACTTCTGGGTATATGTCCAAAGGAAATAAAGTCACTCTCTCAAATAGACAGCCGCACTTCCATGTTCACTGCCACATCATTTGCAATAGCCAAGCTGTGGAAGTGACCTGTGTCCATCAATGGGTGAGCGGATAAAGAAAAAGTGGTATGTACATACATATGCATATATATACACTGGAATGTTATTCAGCCTTAAAAGGAAATCCTGCCACTTGTGACAATATGGATGGCCCTGGAAGATGTTATGCTAATTGAAATAAACCAGACACAGAAAGACAAATACTGCATGATCTCACTTACATGTGGAGCCTAAAAATGATGAATTCATAGAAACAAAGCAGAATGACTACCAGTGGCTGAGGGGTGTGGGAGAAAGGGAAATATAGGTCAAAGGGTACAAAATTTCACTTATAAAATGAATAAATTCTGATACCTAGCCAGCATGGTGACTGGAGCTAATAATAATGTATTGTATACTTGAAATTTGCTGAGATTAAATCTTAAGTGTTCTCACCAGACACACACACAATGGTAACTATGCGAGGTAAGGGGTGTCTTCTTTAGCTTGATAGTGATAATCACTTCACAATGTATACGTATATGAAAAGAGCACATTGTATACTCAAATATATATAATTTTTATTTATCAATCATTCTTCATAAAGCAGGAGTAAAAAGGAGCCAGATATAAATGAATACATGCTCTGTGATTTCATTTAAATGAAGACATACAAAACTAATTATGGCAATAGAAAGCAGAAAAGTGGTTGTTTGGAGAGAGGATATATGGAAAGGAGTACAAAGGAATCTGGGGTGATGGAGTGTTCTATCTTCTACATGTTGTTTTGGGGGGTGTTTACATGGGCTTAAACTTTCATCGAAACTCTTTGAAATGCATTCTTCAGATATGTGCAATGTAAGTTATATCTCAAAAAAAATTTTTAAGTCCCCACGTTATCATTTTCTTGTTATTTGTAATATTGATACTGCATTTTTGAAATGGCCCACATGTCCTCCCGGACCTTAAAATCTAGAGGGGGATAGAGACCAGCAAACAGACAACTATCATACTGTGCAGTAGTGTGATGATAACAAAAGTCCAGGCATCCTGGAGCCTCAGAGGAGGTCCCTAGCTCAGATATGGGAGAGTCAGGGAAGGTTCCTGAGAGAAGAGCCTAAGCCAAGAACTGAAGCATGAGTGGAAGCTGTTCAGGCAAATGGAGGGGAGAGAGAGTAAGTGTTCCTCCTGGCAGATGGAAGAGGAGAGGAAGAAAGAGATAACTTGCTCACCTTATCCTAATGTGGGGAGATTTTGAAGTGTTTTAAACAGGGAAGTGACAGAATTGTTTTAGAAAGTTTATTCTGATGGCAAGATTTGAGGCAAAGAGACTAGTTAGTAGGTCAGTCACTGTTGGCTGGAGAAGCTAGTGTCCTGGTCGAGGCCTCTGGCCATGGGTACAGAGAGAAGTGGACAGCTTTGGGAGCTGAAGGTACTGAACATAAAAGGCAGAACTGAAGGTACTTAGTGGCTAACTGGTTTATGGGGGTGAAGGAGAAGCAGCAATCAGGGATGCCCTACTTTATCAGCCTGGTCACCAGGTGAAGGGGTAGGGTAGTGAACAGGGGAAGAGGTGTAGATTTGGGAGGATTGATGGGAACTCATTTGGGGGCATATTGAGTTGGATTTGAAGCCTGAAAAAAATAGAGGCTAGAAATAGGGATTTTGGAGTCATCAGCATATAGCTGTTCATTGAAGTATTAGGACTTTATGAGGTGACCAGGTGAAGGAGTCACAGGGGCAGAAATTGAAAATTTATGGGAAAAAGAGAATTGTCAGATTGTGAGGAGAAGCTGGACAATTGGGATAAATTCTTTTATCTTCAGTTTCTTAATATGAAAAATATTATACAGGAAAAATTGAAAAACATTTTCAATTCAAGGAATTGAATTGTTCAAGGAATACCTGTGTACCCCCCACTTAAACTTAATAATTATGAATAGTACTGTAATAGCTTTATACTTGTTTGTATGTATTTTTCATTTTGCTGAATTATTTGAAAGTTACACTGCAGCATGCATTTCCTAAAAACAGGCACATTTATGTTATACTTCCCCGTGTATAAGGTTACACTTCAGTACTCATCTCCTAAAACCAGGGACATGCACATACACAACCATAATGTCATTATCACACCTAAGTTACCACTTTTATAATTAACAATTATTATTTCATATAATTCAATATCCAATTCATATTCAAGACTCCTGAATTACATCAGGAATAAATAAATAAATAATGTTTATCATCTTACACTGTTTCTGTAGGTTGAGAATTTGGGAACAGCCTGGCTGGGTGGTTCACTCTCTGGTCTCTCATGAAGTTGTAGTCAGGATATTGGCAAGGGCCGTGGTCATCTAAAGATTTCATTAGGGCTGGAAGGTCTGCTTTTAAAATTGCTCACACGCAGTATGTTGGTATGTTTGTGCTGGCTGTTGGCAGAATAACTTGATGTAACACGTGGACCTTTCCGTAGACTTGAGGGCAGCTGGCTTCCCCCAAAGCAAGCACAGCAGAAATAGCAATGTCTTTTATGGCCTGGCTTGGCCAGTTATACTTGTCCTTTCCACAATATCCTAACAGTTACACAGATCAGTTCTTTTTGCTGTGGGAGGGAAGTATACAAGACAAGAATACCAGGAAGCAAAAACCACTGGGAGTTATCCAAGAGGCTGGCTACCACAATCTGGATCAGGGATTCCTTCTGTTTTCCTCCTATGAAGCTAAGTTTTTGAAGAGATCAGGTCAGTTGGCTTTTAGATTGTTCCAAATTCTGGACTTTTCCAATTGTTTCCTCATGGTGTAATTTAACTTGTTCTCCTCTCCTCCATATTTCCATAAATCAGAAGTTAGAACTAGGCTTGATTAAATCAAGGTTATACGTTTTTGGCAATTATACTCCATAGGCAATGCTGTATATATCATATTGCATTAAACAATAACATAATGTCAAATTAGCCTGTGTTTTGTGATGCCAAGTTTGGCTAAAGTGGTAACCTTAGAACACTGGTGTAAAAGTAGTTTTCTCCTTTATATTTCTCTTTGGTATTACTTTCTACAGTAATTTATAGGATGATAACTTTGGGACTGCAAAAACATTTTGTTCCCCAAAACACTTACCTAATGCTTTTAACATTTTATATCCCTATTCCTTCCATTTGCCTCCCAAAGATAATCATTTATTTCTTGTTAATCTTTCTAGTAGTTAAGCAGATATAGGCAATCCTCATTACTGGTGCATTCCATTTGTGCATTTGCAAATTCATCTACTTGCTAAAATCTATCTGTAACTCCCAAATCAACACTGGGGGCTTTCACAGCTATGCCCAGACACGCACAGAGCAGTGAAAACTTTGGGTTGCCCATCACACATGTTCTCAGCTAAAGATGAGCAAGGTGATACTCAACTTTGTTTTTTCATCTCTCATATTATAAATAAGTGTCTTTTTCAAGGCACATTTAGTGCTAAATTTTCTGCATTTTTGTGTTTTTCATTGTTGGTGGTGACTTTGCTGTTTGAAGTGGCCTCTGAGCATAGTGCCAAGTGTTGGCTATGTTTCAGGCACAAGAAGGCTTTGATGTAATGATCTCAGGGAGAAAATACCTGTGTTAGATATGCTTCCTTCAGGGATGAATTATAGTCCTTTTGGCCCTGAGTTCAATGTTAAAGAATCAACAGAATATATTAAAGATGTCTACAAACAGTAACACACCTGAAACAAGGTCATGTATTGCTTAGTTGATGAGAATGCTGTGACCAGAGGCTCACAGGAACCTAACTAACCCTGTATTGCCCTAGGAGCAATGATTAAGTATTTGCTAACTCAGCTTTGGTGGTGACTTTATAGAACATAACTATCTCAAATAATGAAAATTAACTCTATTTTTATTTTCTCTCCTTTCTTACATTAAAAGTTCAAATTTTCTTTGCAGTATTTTTGGCTTTAGAATACATTTCATTGGAAACATACAGAAAACTGTGTTTAAAAGTCATTTTTCTCTGTGATGTTATGTTACCAATTTAACACTAGTTAGGGGTTTTGCTTTAGGTGTGCTTTCAATTTTTTACTTTTTTCTTTTCTTTTTTTAGAATATGTAAAACATATAGGTAGGTGGGCAGTAAAACCTTCATTACGAAGCAAGGCCTCACTTTCATCCTTATCCTTCCTGTTCTTTACAATGAAACATTTTTTTAGTGTCTAATGTCCAGAGGATTTTTTAAAATGCAAAAACAACTAAATACTTATATATGTGTAGATTTCTTATTTTCCCTCTTTTACCATGCTTTGCTTTTTTAAAGTTAATCATATACCCTGGAGGTCACTGTATGTTCGTACTCACAAGTCATCCTTATGTTTCATAAGGCTGCGTTCACTTTTAAGCACTCCATGGTTTTATTCGTCTCATTGGAGCAAGCGTTTTTGAAGTGTGGCAGGTTGACAGTACACTTGCTGGTATCAGGTGAAATTCAAATCCCGGCTCCACCCGTTACTGAACCTTTCATCGTAAGGGAGGCATCTACCGTCTTTGTGTCTCAGTTTTCTCATCTGTAAAATGAGAATGATGAACAAATAGCACACAGCTCATTCGGCTTTCTGAACATCAGTTAACGCATTTAAAATTCTTATGACAGTGCATGGGTCGCAGGGAGCCCTCAAATTAAATGAAAAGCAGGGTTGGTGGTAATGACGGTGACTTGTAGCAGCTTCCAGTGAAATCCAGGAAAACCCTATGGCAACAGAATATTTCCAGAACCTGTGTGAAGTACTAAACATGAGAACGCAAGGATCCCCGAGCCCGGGATGAGCCGGACGCGCGCCCCGTAAAGTGACAACGATGAAGGCGAAGCAGGGTAGCTCAAAGACGCGCTCCCACCCAGACCCCGGGGCAGGACGCTTTCGCCCTTCAGCAGCCAGGAAGGAAGGCAGGGTCGCCTCCGTTAGCCCACACAGTCCGGGGCTGCGGCGTGCCAGGCGCCGGGAGCCGCCGAGCTCTTTGCCCGGGAAGAGGGGCCCGGGAGACCACCCAGGACAGGAGCGCCCGCCGGCAGCCCGCTCGCCTGAAAAGGGGCGAGGCCGGAAAGGGGCGGGCCCGGGCCGTGGCGCCAAAACGCGGACATGGCGCCGGAGCGGGTTCGGAGCCGGGCGCTCTCGGCGTTCAAGCTGCGCGGCCTACTGCTCCGCGGGTGAGTGGTCCTGGGCACTGCGGGACGCGACCGGAGAGCTAGGGCCAGGCCGCCCCGCCAGCGGGGCGCGCCGAGAGGGGCTGGCCGTGATAGGGACCCTTAAAACTAAGCCCCCAGAGCCGAGTCCATCCGGCGGGGTCTTCGGCTGCTGCGCCGCCTTAGGTTTCCCCGACGTTCGCAGGGAATAGGAGCGATTCTTTCGGGAGGGACGACGGTCTGCAGTCTGTGCTGCACCGAGCCGGGGACGCGGCCGTCCGTGTCTGAGCCGCAGCGATTAGTACTGTGATGTGAGCGCCTCGCTGCCCCCCGAAGTCTCTATCTCTGCAAAATGGGAGTAATAACTGTGCTGCTTCCCCGAGATACTTGAGACTTCAGTTGAGAGAGACGCGGGCAAACCCCAGGTATCTGTCAGTGTGGCCAGATTGCATTGTGGGAACTGTGGGCCCTCCCAGCCTTCCCAATTTTGGTCAAGTATTCCTGGGTGATAATGCCTGGAGAGTTAAAAAGCGGGTAGGTTTGAAGCATGTTCCTTGATCTCCTGGGTTTTTTGTTCTTTCTTTTAATATTTCTTTTAGAACTTCTCTCATAGGTTTCCTGGCCATATCCGTGTTTTCTAGTACCTAATGCGATGAACCTTCCCAAGATTTTTTTCACTAAAAATCCTGTTTTCAGAATACAATTAAAAAAAAAACATATTTAAATATCTGCTGGATGTGATATACTTTTCTGTACCAGGTTTTGATTGCTCTTGGGTGTGAAGGTTTGTTTTTGGTTTTGGAATGATCATTTTATGGGACTTTTAATTTTGCTTTTGGATTAGTGCTGGTCAAGGGCAAGAGTGGATAAGCCCTGGGAGAAAATAATGAATTTTGTTCAGTTGATCCCTGACATCTTGAAAATAAGACCATTGATTAATTACCTTTTCCTTCTTTTCACTTAGAACCTAACCTAAAATTAAGCTGTCATCCATTAACTAATTCAGTCAGAAATACACCAAAATCTGTTAGCCGCAGAGCACTATGGTGGGGCAAGGGAGTACATGGGAGAGGAAGACACTGGAGCTTGAGGGGCAGGTGGTGCACTAGTTATTTGTTGCTGTGTAACAGATTACCCCAAATCCTACAGGTTTTAAACAGTACATTCTTTTTTTTATTTTTATTAAGGTATTATTGATATACACTCTTATGAAGGTTTCACATGAAAAAACAAAGTGGCTACTACATTTACCCATATTATAAAGTCCCCACTCATACCACAATGCAGTCACTGTCTATCAGTGTAGTAAGATGCCACAGATTAACTATTTGCCTTCTCAGTGCTACACTGTTTTCCCTGTGATCTCCCACACCATGTGTACTAAACATAATACCTCTTCATCCCCTTCTCCCTCCCTCCCCACCCGGCCTCCCAAGCCCCTCCCCTTTGGTAACCACTAGTCCCTTCTTGGAGTCTGTGAGTCTGCTGCTGTTTTGTTCCTTCAGTTTTGCTTCTTGTTATATACTCCACAAATGAGGGAAATCATTTGGTACTTGTCTTTCTCCGCCTGGCTTATTTCACTGAGCATGATGTCCTCCAGCTCCATCCATGTTGTTGCAAATGGTAGGATTTGTTTCTTATGGCGAAATAGTATTCCATAGTGTATATGTACCACATCTTTATCCATTCATCTACTGATAGACACTTAGGTTGTTTCCATTTCTTGGCTATTGTAAAAAGTGCTGTGATAAACATAGGGGTGCATATGTCTTTTTGAATCTGAGAAGTTGTATTTTTTGGGTAAATTCCAAGGAGTGGGATTCCCAGGTCAAATGGTATTTCTATTTTTAGTTTTTTGAAGAACCTCCATATTGCTTTCCACAGTGGTTGAACTAGCTTACATTCCCACCAGCAGTGTACGAGGGTTCCCCTTTTTCTGCATCCTTGCCAACATTTGTTGCTCTTAGTCTTTTCGATGCTGGCCATCCTTACTGGTGTGAGGTGATATCTCATTGTGGTTTTAATTTGCATTTCCCTGATGATTAGTGATGTGGAGCATCTTTACATGTGTCTGTTGGCCCTCTGAATTTCTTCTTCGGAGAAGTGTCTGTTCATATCGTCTGCCCATTTTTTAATGGGGCTATTTGCTGTTTCGGTGTTGAGGCGTGTGAGTCTTTTATATATTTTAGATGGTAACCCCTTGTCAGATATGTAATTTACAAATATATTCTCCCATACTGTAGGATGCCTTTTTGTTCTGTTGATGTCCTTTGTCATACAGAAGCTTTTTAGTTTGATGTAGTCCCATGAGTTCATTTTTGCTTTTGTTTCCCTTGCTCGAGGAGATGTGTTCAGGAAGAAGTTGCTCATGCTTATATTCAGGAGATTTTTGCCTATGTTGTCTTCTAAGAGTTTTATGGTTTCATGACTTACATTGAGGTCTTTGATCCATTTTGAGTTTACTTTTGTTTATGGGGTTAAACAATAATAAAGTTAATACAGTTTCATTCTCTTCCATATAGCTGTCCAGTTTTGCCAACACCAGCTGTTGAAGAGGCTGTCATTTCCCAATTGTATATCCATGGCTCCTTTATTGTATATCATTAATTGACCATATATGCTTGGGTTTATATCTGGGCTCCCTAGTCTGTTCCACTGGTCTATGTGTCTGTTCTTGTGCCAGTACCAAATTGTCTTGATTACTGTGGCTTTGTAGTAGAGCTTGAAGTTGGGGAGCATTAACCACCCCCAGCTTTATCTTCCTTCTCAGGATTGCTTTGGCTATTCAGGGTCTTTTGTGGTTCCATATGAATTTTAGAATGATTTTCTCTAGTTCGTTGAAGAATGCTGTTGATATTTTGATAGGAATTGCATTGAATCTGTAGATTGCTTTAGGCAGGATGGCCATTTTGACAATATTAATTATTCCTATCCATGAGCATGGGATATGTTTCCATTTATTGGTATCTTTAATTTCTCTCATGAGTGTCTTGTAGTTTTCAGAGTATAGATTTTTCACTTCCTTGGTTAGATTTATTCCTAGGTATTTTATTCTTTTTGATGCAACTGAATGGAATTGTTTTCTCTTTCTGCTAGTTCATCGTTAGTGTATAGGAATGCCACAGATTTCTGTGTATTAATTTTGTATCCTGCAACTTTGCTGAATTCAGATATTAGATCTAGTAGTTTTGGAGTAGTTTCTTTAGGGTTTTTTTATTTACAATATCGTGTCATCTGCAAACTGGGACAGTTTAACTTCTTCCTTGCCAATCTGGATGCCTTTTATTTCTTTGTGTTGTCTGATTGCCGTGGCTAGGACCTCCAGTACTATGTTGAATAACAGTGGGGAGAGTGGGCATCCCTGTCTTGTTCCCAATCTTAAAGGAAAAGCTTTCCAGCTTCTTGCTATTAAGTGTAATGTTGTGTGTGGGTTTGTCATATATGGCTTTTATTATGTTGAGGTACTTGCTCTCTATACCCATTTTTAAACAGTACACTCTTATGTCACATTTTCTGTGGGTCAGGAATTCAGCTAGACTTAGCTGGGTCCTAAGCTTAAGGAAGGCCAGAGACACTGGATGAACCATAGGAGATTTGGCAGGGTCACATCCTGTATAGCTTTACACAGTCTCACACAAGAGTGCAGCTGAGATGGAGTCATTTCAAACGTCAGTTGGGCAGGATCCACCTCTAAGTTCATCCAACAGTTGGCAGGATTCAGTTCCTCCAGGACTGTTGGACTGAGGGCCTCAGTCCTTGCTGGCTGTTGGCTGGAGGCCATCCTCCATTCATTGCCATGTGGGCCTTCCTGAGCGCAGCAGATGGCTTATCAAATCCAGCAAGAGAAAGAATTCTGCTAGCAAGACAGAACCACACAGTCTTTGTAGCCTAACCAATGAAGTAACATCTTCCTGCTTTAAATTGTTTCATTTTAAAAGTACAATAGAGTAAACTGTTACATCACTTTCACTGTATTCTATTGTTAGAATAAGTTATTAGCTCCAGCCTACACTCTATGAGAGGGGATTGTGTATGGAGTATCAGGAGGCATCAGGAGTATCAGGAGGCATGGATTATTAGGGGCTGCCTTGGAAGTCTTTCTACCATGGATATTAAAATATTCACAATTATTTAATTTCAGTTGTGAAAAAGATCCCAGGATCTGTGATACAAGGTGACTGCTCCAGAGTCAAGGGAAGCTTCACTGAAGAAGTGGTTTGAGCTGAGTGTTAAAGGATGAGCAAGACTTGACTAGGTGAAGAGAAAAGTGGAGGGAAATGGCCACATGAAGGCCCTGAGTCAGGAGAGCAACAGGAATGCCAGAGACACTGGATGAGACAGGGGCCAGACCCTGTACAGCTTTATAGGCTCTGGTCTATCCTGAGAGCTGTCCCAAGGTTCACCCACAATGTGTATAATTTTAGGGGCTCAGTCATCCAATGTTTATGGATCACCTTCAGTGCGTTACGATGAAACAGTCCCAGTTCTCAAAGAGTGTCATCTGTAATAAACGGGAGAGATCTGACACCGACACATGAAACAAACAACCCAAGATAGAGATTAGTGATGCCTATAAAAATAATGGTGACATAAAGTATAAATTTGTGTGAAAACAAACAGAGAATGCCATACAACCAGCTTATTGTTTAAGTAGACAGTGTTCATTCTGAGCACTATTGGTATCTAAGTCAGGGATTCATGTGATTTTTTAAAAAAATTGAGGTTTGTTGAGTTTTTTTCCGGTGGGAGAATTCAAGTCATTTTAATAGGAGTGTTGCTTCTATGATTATATTCAGATGTCATAGTTTCTTCCAGCCTAATTTTCTAATTTTACAGTTGAAAATAGGTGAAATTACTGGAATTTACTTGAGGTAAATGCATTATCAAGTTAATAAATACATATCTGTGTATTACATTCAGGACAGAAGCAAATGGAGTCCTGCTTTAAATGTAAGGTAATATACAAGGCTAGTATCAGGTTTAAGGATACATCACAAAATATAAGTGAGATTTTTAATAATTTCAGAAGGAAAGATTGCAGCATGTAGGCTGGTCTACGAAGGCATCTTAAAAGAAGGGCATGACTTAGGGCTTTAAGAAAGGTTATGTTGGCAGAGGATAGAAGGAAGAATTTCTTCAGAAAGAGTAGGAAAGGTAAGTACTGCTTGCAGGCAGGAGTGAGTGGATCTTAATTTCAATGCCAGATTGATGAGTGTTTGCCAGTTTTTGGCATAAAATTTGTCGCCTTAATTATCCATGACCTGCCTCATCTTGCTTTCCCTTTCTCATCAGGGAAGCTGTTAAGTACCTCACAGAAGCTCTTAAATCTATCAGTGAAGAAGAGCTTGAAGATGCACTGGGAAAGATCATTGATGCAGTTGAAAAGCAACCCTGTAAGTCACATTTTCTGGTAGCTCTTAAATTATTAATGTATTTCTACATCATCACTTAGATTTACAGCCTTGAGAAGAAGGTGAGGATTCAGTGTAAAGAGGTTCCTGCATTATGAGACCCACCCGTGGTAGCACTTCTTCCTAGGGCATAAACTCTATAGTTTGGTTGGAACCTCAGGGGATTCCCCAGAGACTCTTACAGCTGTTTCCCCTCATAGTGCTGTCACGCCATCTTTCCCACACTTGACTTCTAATTTTGATCTGGTCCTTATGGGCAGTTTTGTCTCTGCATGCTTATCACTTTATCTTTCTTAAGTTAGGTACTCCTAAGTGTTGGGGTGGTGGGTGGAAGGAGTAACTGAGCAGGGCTAACTCTCCCCTCTTGCTTCATCCTTTCTTCGGGCACCTTTTGGTTGAATATTTAATCCTTTATCACAGCATGGGCTTGCAAAGGACAAATGCTCTTTTAGAAAACTAAAGCCCAGTGTTTCTAGAGCACTAAAGGTTAGAGGTGGGTACGGCTTGCTCTCATATGTTGTATAGTTGCTAGGTTCTTCAGTTGTATAGGAAGAAACATGTTCCATGGTAAAGGAGAAATTATTATATCTCATATTCCCTTCTAAACACAGGATTTTAAACATACCTTTGCTTTTAAGATTCCCTTTAAAGTTGAAAATTAAGAAACTGATTACATTTAGATAATTAGTATGGCTTTGTTTAAAGTGGCACGTGGTATTTTGCCTGAAAACACACCAGTATAGTTAAAGGCACCCCACTCTGAAATCAGGCTTGGGATTGTGTTCTGTCTATACAATTTAACTATGTTCTTGGGCAACTTATTCAACCCCTCAAATTCAGATTTTCACCATGTGTAAGATATGGACATGTGAACATCAACCTTATATGCCATCTCTGGATGTCTACTGGAATGTCTACTGGACATTCTGTCTATTGGACTATATGTCTACTGGAATACTGCTGGTAAAGAACTAAGCCTGGTGCCACAGGTGTGCTAAGGGCCTGATAAGTGGTACTGTTATTGTTATTATTGTTGCTATCATGCCTACTGAAGCACAGCAATTGTGATAAAAAGTTATACTAGTGTAACCTTATTAAACCTAGGAGTTTACAGAAGTGTTTCTATAATTGAATTTATATTTTTAAGTACTATTTAGCAAAGTGGGCATTTGTGTACTAATATATTACAGTGATTTGAATATGGACATTTAAGGTATTTGAAATAATGGCTTTTGTTAATGTCCTGACTTGACACTTTTTTCCTCCTAAAATTATGTAGTGAGAATCTCAGGGTTAGTGTTTGCAGATTATTTTGCATATAAAGCTTTCTGTGGAAATAATTAGTTTTTATGCCTGTTTTTAACATTTGACTTTGAACTTCTTTTTTCAGTGTCATCAAACATGATTGAACGGTCTGTAGTGGAAGCAGCAGTCCAGGAGTGCAGTCAGTCTGTAGATGAAACTATGTATGTGGGTAAAATGAACTTTCTCTTCTTGTTGGAGATATTTTTGAGTGCTTATTTTAAATTATTTTTTTGGGGAAATAATTAGTAATCAACATTTCTACAGTCGTTATTTTTCAGTATTTATTTTTAAATAATAATTTCCATGATAAACCTCATTATTAATCGACTCATCTTTACTATTAAGTGACCTAAATAACTCATTTTTTACTACTTTTTCCGTAGGGTTTGAGATTATAGTGTTGTTTGTACCATTACTAACTTTTGCTGCTTACCCATTAACTTATTAACTGGAAGTTAACTTGATTAATTTTTGTTTGTTTGTTAGTATTAGCAATACTTTGCCTCTTCAGAGGAAAATGGTCAAGCTAAAACTTTTACCCATATATTATTTTTGACACTATAAGAAGTTAGGTATATGACCTGTAAAAGTATGTATGTATGACATAAGATTATAGTACAAGTTTTCATATTCACTAGAATTCTTAGATTTTAGTAAATGAGGTCTGTGTTTTTCTGGAATGTTTTTCAGAGACCATATTTTCAATATCATAGGAGCATTTGATATTCCACGCTTTGTGTACAGTTCGGAAAGAAAAAAATTTCTCCCGTAAGTATTCTACTGATTGATTTTGGGCTAATTTCAGATATACATTTCTTTCAGAGGCATTATAGTCCATGTTTCATTTTTTGGCCTACCTTTGTGTATTATGATAGTCATAAATAGGCTTTCCTTTGTCTTCTAGTCTGTTAATGACCAAGCACCCTGCACCTAATTTATTTGGGACAGCAAGAGATAAAGCAGAGCTATTTCGTGAACGATACACCATCTTACACCAGGTAAGTTGGTGGAGAGACTGTTTCAGCTTAGAAAAGACTCAGGGATAATTGAAGAGTAGAATTGTGTAGTCTAAATTTTGTCATTCAATAAACTGTTACTGGGCTCTCTCTGTTTGCGGCCAAATAGGGAATACAGAAATAAAAAAAGATAGTTTCCCCTTAATAATCATGATGATGATGAAACTGGTAGCTAATGTTTATTACATGCTTTTGATGTGATGGACACTGTATTTAGCACTTTACAGAGATTATTTGTCTTATTTGATGATCACAGTGTCAGTATATATACGTATAAATGCTATTATTATCCCCAGTTTACAAACGAAGAAACTCAAACCTAGAGCAGTTTAGTAACTTGCCTGAAAGATCACATCTAGTAAGCAGAGATATGGTTTGAATCCAGTCTTTCTGGTTTTGGAGCCCAACCTTTTCCTGCTCTATCACCTTCTAGCAGCTTATAGTTTATGAAGTTAAAGACATTTGCACAAATAAATATAAATTAGAATTTTTAGGTGCTATAAAAGAAATACAAACATGCATTCAATGGAAAAATGAAGGAAGACTTCAAGGAAACAATGGCATTTGACATGGGCCTTGATTGCTTTGATTTGTGGAAATGGGGGAATGGTGGTGGTAACAGTGTGAACAAAGACACAGCAAAAGGAAAAAAATGATGTGTGTAGGAGGTGATGAGCCTGTCAGTCCACCTTGCATGGAGAAGAAGAAGGCTCACGAAGAGGTGAAGTGTGGGATAAGTTTGGGAAGGCAGGTGGGAGCCAAACTGGGAATGCCTGAATGTCATTCTGGGGGCTGGAACTATGTTCTCTTGGTACAAGGAGCCTTGGAATAGCAGAGAAAATCAGTCACTGGCTTTTTGAAGCACTTCTTGCTTCTACCACCTACATAATGTTGCCAGATTAATCTTCCTAAGGTGTAACCCTGATCACGTCCTGGTTTTGCACAGAAGTCTTTTAAGGAAGTTTACTGCCTATTGAATTAAAGACAAATCATACTTAATATTTGAGATCTTCTATCACACATTTTTGACGTAATCTCTATGTTTCCTCTAATAATATTCTGTGTCGAGCCAAAACTGAAATATGGAATTCCTGTTTGTTTCTTCTACTTCTTCTGTAACTTTGCTTATGCTCTTCACTCTCTTGACTGCCCTTCTCTCTTACATCTACTGTTAAAACTTCTGATTTTGGGAGGGCCTTCTCAGATTCCCCTGTCTTCAGAAGCCCTTCTCAATCTCCAGCCGGATGCAGTCTCTTCCTGCTTTAAACCACTGACTACTCAGTATGTTTCCTATGTCACTTATTAGAGTTGGCCCTGCCTAGCATTCAGTGTGCTTATTATCCCCATTACAGACTGCACATGCCTTATTTATTTCCTCTGCTACATTTGGCACAGTGCTTTACACAAGAAGATGCTCAAGTAAATACCACATTTCTTTTTTCTTTTTTTTGAAAAATTATTTTAAAGGCTACTATATTGTTTTGTGTATGTCGCTTAACCCTCCTGAGCCTCATTTTTCCCTACCTGTGAAATAAAAGGGTTGAATTTTAGTCCATTCATATTTTTATTGCAATCATCTTCCTGAAAGAAAATCTGATTTTATCATTGTCCTACTTCTAAAGTCTTTGTTTTCTATTGTTTATGAGATAAACTTCATGGCTTGGTGTACGAAGTGTATTGTCAGGGTTCTTTTATTGGAGATTATATAAACTCAGACTAACTGGAACAGAAAAAACAATTTATTGGCTTATGGAGGGGTCTAGAGGTCCACCTGTTTCAAGGATGGCTGGGCCAGGGCCGTCACACAATTTCATGAGGCTCAGGAGACATACTGAGTAGTCAGTGGTTTAAAGCAGGAAGAGACTGTATCCAGCTGGAGATCAAGGAGCACTTCAGAAAGGAGGAGGAATCTGAGGAGGCCCTCATCCTCTTTCTATCTTTCTATCTCTAGTAACTTATAAAAATTGATTTTACTTTAAGCTAAGTCCTCCTTACGAGATGACAGAGGCCACTACTAGCCTAAGCAACTCTTGGAAAGGGAGTTTCTCTTTCCACTAATTCTAGCAACAGTCTCTTACTGGCGCAGTTTGAGGCAGTTGCTCAGCCCTGAACCATTCACTGGCTAAGGGGATGGAGTTCAGTTCGCTAGGCCTTAGCTGCTTGTCTGTAGAACTGGGAAGGTCCTACCTACACTAAATGGACAACCATGGAACAGGGTGGGGGAAGATAGTTCCCCAAATAGAGGCTCCAGCTAGTCTTTTGCCTTGTCTGACATCTTGCTTTGTGCACCACATGATCCAACTGTACTAAACTAACATGACTTCCCAAATGCTCCTTTACTCTTGTAACTCTTTCTTATAATACATCCTTTCCTCTGCCAGAAATGTCTTGTCTCATTCTCCTTTTGTTTCATACTATCAAAATCTTATTTCTCAGGATCTCGTTAAATGTCTCCTTCTGCCCAGGGTCCTTGGTTGTATTTCGGCCTGTTGCTATTTCTCACTAGCCACCATGCTCTGAGGTTGGCACTTGGTTTATTGTTCTCATATCCTCAGTCCAGAGTACACTGCAGCCAGGTACACAGGAGACTGTTTTTAAAAAAATTCTTTTTAATGCTTTTTTTATTCTTAAAATGACATTTCTAGGTATTTATTCATTAAATCATGTGGGTTTCATATTTGTTGAGAATAGGTAATAGTAACATTAGTTTAAGGTGATGTTTTGTCATGGTACTATTTTAATGAATCTTAGTTTTAAGTGCCTGTTTCAGTAATTCATGTGAATCTTTCTTTTTTGTAGAGGACCCACAGACATGAATTATTTACTCCTCCAGTGATAGGTTCTCACCCTGATGAAAGTGGAAGCAAATTCCAGGTTAGAATGTTATCCTAGTTACTAAGGGGTGTATGTATACAAGTTTAATATTTATTGTGCAATTCTAATGTATTTTAAATGAAAATGAATCACTGGTAACTGTTTAGCTAGCTAAGTGACCTCTGCATGCCCACTGTCAATAAAGTTCATGCCCTGTGCACTGGGTCCTACAAATCTCTAATAGAGGTGACCACTTCCTTCTTTGGGGCAGGCCCTGAGACTGTGGTAGCCCCAGATTTCTCTGAGCACCAAGACAGATCCTTAGTCCTCCTGGTCTGTTTGCTGGATACTGAACTGACTTTCTGACCAACTCTCACCATTACCCTTCCTGCCCTCACTCATATTCCAAAATACTGGTCTTTGCCCAACCCATCCCTCTCGTGATCACCACACAATGAATATGTGCCAGATCAGTTGGACTAAAACTTAAGGCACTACGGAAACAACATTTTTTTTTTTTGAGAGGGCATCTCTCATATTTATTGATCATATGGTTGTTAACAACAATAAAATTCTGTATAGGGAACTTAATGCACAATCATTAACCAACCCCAAGCCTAATTCTCAACAGTCTCCAATCTTCTGAAACATAACGAACAAGTTCTTACATGGTGAACAAGTTCTTACATAGTGAATAAGTTCTTACATGGTGAACAGTGCAAGGGCAGTCATCACAGAAACTTTCGGTTTTGATCACGGATCATGAACTATAAATCAGGTCAATTATGATTGTTTGATTTTCATACTTGATTTATATGTGAATCTCACATTTCTCCCTTATTATTATTATTATTATTTTTAATAAAATGCTGAAGTGGTAGGTAAATGCAAGATAAAGGTAGAAGACATAGTTTAGTGCTGTAAGAGGGCAAATGTAGATGATCAGGTGTGTGCCTATAGACTAAGTATTAATCCAAGCTAGACAAGGGCAACAAAACATGCACGGATGCAGAAGATTTCTCCAAAAACGGGGGGTGAGGTTCTAAGCCTCACCTCTGTTGATTCCCAATTTCTCACCTGATGGCCCCCCCCCTGCGACTGTGCCTGTCTTAGGTTGTTCCTCCCTTGAGGAATCTTACCCGTTTCTGGCTAACCAGTCATCTTCTGGGGCCATACAGGGAATTGTAAAGTTGGCAAGTGAGAGGGAAACAACATTTATAGAATGAATGAGGCAGCACAAATAGCCTGCAAGTTGTTGGGTCCTGAGGGGTGGAAATGAGAGGGAGAAAGTTTTCTGTCACATGTGCTCCTTCCACTTTGATACTCATACCTCAGAGGGTGGTTACCGAATGGTGTCACTTAGTTCCAGCAGTACACCTAGTCACTGTCAGTCTGTCTGTGGTTTTGTTCCCCCCTCCATCATATAGAACCCTGCTGGGGGTAGTCCTTAGCCAGTTCTGTCTTGGCCCCACCATTTCTGTGAGGTTCCAGATAGGTTCAAAAGAGGCCCAGCCTCTTCAGGTTCATTCAGTTATCTTCCATGTTACATCAGAATTCGTGATGGTGATTAGTCTGATGGATAATAAAACAAAACTAGATCATGCTCAAATTAATGTTCAATGGCAGTACCAGAAGGAGAAAACATTTGTAGTGTTTGATAGTTTCTGCTTTTAACTTTAATTAGAGAAAAATTTGTATTGTTTTGGAAATTGACATCACTTATATTTCCCTGCTAAAAACTGGCTCTGTGTTTTCTTACATATATTAAGCTTTCTATGGCAATGCAGATGCCCATAGCCCAAAGCATTATTTTTCCTCTCCTCTTTGCCAAAGTAACTTTAAGGCCTAGCCAAACAACTTATTGTTCCTTTCAGTTTTTCCAAGCTGTTTAATTCTATATCCCAGGTGATATGTTTTCTATTTAAATGACCATTTTATAGTACCTGGAGTAATCTCCCTTTACAGACTTTAACACAGTATCCTCAGGAATACCTTGTTACAGCTTTGTACTCCTGTGTTCTTCCTTTCTTCCTTTATTTAATGTGAACTGTAGTATTTTTCCCAGTCTATAAGTTGTCTTTTTATTTTGTTAAGAGGCCTTTTGAAGAACATAAAGTTGTTAATTTTGTTGAAGTCCAACTTACCAATATTTTATTTTATAGATCATAGTTATGGTATTCTTTCTAAGAAATCTCTAGCCCAGTTTTTAGGGTATAGGTCTTGGGTAGCTTTTTCTTCAGATTTATCCCTAAGTATTTAATTTAAAAAAATTTTTTAATGTACATTGTGATACCATGTTGCTTTAAATTCATGTATTTTAAGAGGAACTCTAATACCAAATGTTAACATTGATTTTTATGGGATGATGGGATTATGTATGCCTTTATTTCTTCTTTCTCTATATTTTAAAATTTTTCCTATATTGAACATGCATTATTTGTAATAGAAAACAATATGGTAAAGATGAAAAGTGCTCCACTTTATAATTCTATAAAAATGAAAAATTATATACCTTTCACCTAGCAGCTCTGTTTCTAGATTTGTAGAAGTTTGTCTAACAGTTATACTCATGCTGTATATATGAACCAAAAGAGGGGCACAGAAATATTAAGCATTGTTTTTATTATCAGAAAACTAAGAACAATTTAAATGTCCTTTAATAAGAGTTTGGTAAAATAAATTGTTATATATATGCTATAGGTATCACTATCCATTAAAAAGAATGAAGTATACTATACATGGTAAATGGAACAATGTCTAAGCTATATTAAATTGAAAAGTTGTAAGATAATATAATTTATATGAATGATATTTAATCTTTGCAAATAAAATTTTATGAGTATGTGTTTATAAATTATATATATATATATTAACATATATTTAGGATTATATATAGAAAAGGATCAGAAGAATGGTGCCCCAATTGTTACTACCTTTAACTTTCTGATAAAAATATAATGGTCAGACTGAGAATATAAATAATAATGAAAGTCTTTTCAAACATTAAATAAAGTTAGCATATAACTTTTTAAAGAGCCTACCAATCTTGAAGAGATAATGACCAAATAAATAAAATGCATATTCTTTTCTATAGTTTAAAGATAAATGTCCTTACCATTATTCAGAATACAGTAGTCCGTCCTTATCAGTGGGGAATACATTCCAAGACCCCTGGGGAAAGTCTGGAACTGTGAAGAGTCCTGAACCCTATATATAGTACATTTTTTCTGAACCCTATATATAGTATGTTTTTCTTACATATATATATATATATGTGTGTGTGTGTGTTTATACTATATATAGTATGTTTTTTCTTAGACATACATTCCTATGATAAAATTTAATTTGTAAATTAGGCATAGTGAGAGACTAGTAACAGTAATAAAAAAGAGCAACTATATAACAATATACTATAATAATTGTTATGTGAATGTGGTTTCTCTCTAGATATTTTATTGTACTATACTCACCCTTCTTGTGATGATGTGAGATGATAAAATGCCTGCATGAGGAGACGTAGGCATTGTGATGTAGTGTCAGGCTACTGTTGACCTTTTGAAAATATGTCAGAAGGTCATCTGCTTCTGGACTACAGTTGGCCAGTTGACTGTGGGCAACGGAAACCATGGACAGAGGGGGACTACTATAATATAGTATGAAACTTTGCTCATTAGTAAGGGCCTAAGTTGATATTAAAACTTTTTGTAGGATAAAATGGTATTTTCTAAGTTTTATTTGATTTTCTACTGTAAAGTAGGTGTAAATACTAATATATGCACTCAGAATTTACTTATAGGAAGATTAGTTTCTTAAAAGAACGTATTTACAGTCTTTAAGAATTTCCTTCATTTTATTTTAGCTTAAAACAATAGAAACCCTATTGGGCAGTACAACCAAAATTGGAGATGTGATTATTCTTGGAATGATAACCCAATTAAAAGAGGTAAGTTAAACTTAAGCTTTAATTTTTATTTTCAGCCTTGTAATTGATGAAATGTCAGCTACATAAGGCATTTCTATAGAGGGTGCAGGAATGTATTCTTCATTTAAGGTTTTTACCTCACTCACCAAGTAACCTTTTCATCTGTGTTTGGTTTCTGGAGTAGACATAAGAAGGAGGGTCTTACCTAGGCCACCAGTTTGTGTAGCCTGAAGTTGGGCTCTCAGTGGCCTCTGGTTGAACTGAGAGCAATGGGTTTCTGAGCATGCAGAGCTGCTGACCACATCCTGGTCCCTTGCAGACTCTGTTGACTCTCTTAGGTGAGGCACCTGGTGAGGCCCTTCTTATGGTGGCCAGCGAGTGACCTGTGAGCCATCTCTTGACTTGCAGTGGTCATCCTCAGGCACCTGTGAGGAATTCTGAGTCTCCATTAAGTGATTAGTCTGAGGTCACCAGTCTAGTAAATGGAAAATCCTGTACTAGGAGTTGCTACGAGGAATTGCTGATTTTTTAAAATCCACTGGACTTTCTACTATCTTCTGTTGTTAAAATTTCAGTATTTTAATTTTGTCATAGTATTCATTTTTATATGAATGTGGATATATTTCTTTTATTTTTTTTTTTAGGGAAAATTTTTTCTGGAAGATCCTACAGGAACGTTACAACTAGATCTTAGTAAAGCTATATCCTTCACTTTTATTTTTTTTAAGTCTATATTACATGAATTGGGGAAGTTGTATATCATTCTCAACTTGACGTAATTGAGATCTTGGTGTAATTTCCATATGGTTGATGATGTAGGAATCTAGAGACAAAAATCGTTAATTCTCCCTTATTTGGAGAATGCAGACAAATTACTGAGGAAGTTTATAACATGCTAAGAATGATTTATACTGTCAGTGTTACCAGGCTATATCTTAGAGTCAGACATGGGTACATTCAAACTTAAAATTTTTTAAGCTGTGATCTATTCAGTTTCAAACGTGAAGTCTTTGAATTTAGTACTTAGAAGTCCTGTTGGGCTCAGAATATATGTTGTCTTTATCACCACCTTAAGCATAGAAATAGAATTATTTTCCTCAACTATTGTATACCAGTTCCACAGTGGTTTATACACAGAGTCATGCTTTGTCTTAGCAGAAGGTAAGTCAGTTTACTTTTTTCCTGTCCTCCTCCTCATTCTACAGGAAAACCGTTTCCACTTATATGTTTATTTTAACATTGATTATGAGTGCATACTTTGACAACATTAAATAATTTTAGACTGCTAATGGCCATGGAGCTTCTTTTTAGGATGATGAAAATATTCTGAAATTAATAGTGATGGTTGTTCAACTCGTGAATATACTAAAAACCACTGAATTGTATACTTTTAAAGCGTGAATTGTATGATATGTGAATTATATCTCAATAAAATTTTAAAAAGGCAGATTTTACAAAGGGTCATTAAATGAAACATTTCCTTATCTGTGTACCTTATCTCTCTGTAGTCTGTCATGTATTGTGAAATTAAAAAGTGAAAAGTTTTACTTCTCATCTATTTCTATTTCATGCACTTTTTAAAATAGAATTGAGGCTATCTCTGGATCTGAAATTGTTCTGTAGCTCCGTGGGCCTGGCCACTGCTATAGTTAGAAGATGAAATGATAGCCTAGCATTACTGCTTTATGTTTCATAGTTTTGTCCTTTCAAACAAGGAAAATTGGATGAATGAAAGTGATTTGTTACTTATCTTTTTCCAGGTTGGTTTGAAGATCAAGTATTTCATGTCAGTGCCTTTGGATTTCCACCCACTGAACCTTCTCGTACTACTAGGTATAAAAATGTTTGACTTAAACTCTGTAAGGAATTTTGTAATATTGGCAGTAATGAATGTAAGATTGTGTGTCATGTCTCAGTGATTACAAGGCCTCAGGCTTTGTGTCAGAATGCAAAGAGCAATGGCAAGGGAGAGAGTTTGAAGACTGGGATTTATGCATAACTGAAAACTAGCAGATTAACTCCAGATTAGTTTAAGTGTCTCTGTACTTTGCTTTAACTGGGAAGGATTTCCAGTCTACCTGTCCTGCTTATCTATAGGATTAATGACAAGTTCGACTGAAATATAAGATAGGAAAACAGAAGGATATAATTCCCATGTCAATATGAAGTTCTTATTTTTATATTCTACTGATGAGTGAAAGTTACAACATGCAGATTATATAGCTCTTTAATACAAGTGAAAGCATCATAATAGAGCTATGCCAAAAGGATCTTCTCTGAGAGGAGTGAGTTCCCTGTCACCTGAGGTATTTGACGAGAGACTGAATGAAGTTGATGGTGGCCTATGGGTTGAATGTGGCTGTAGACCCTTCTTTTTCCTTTGAGGTGTTAAAACACATTTTAAACTAATTCCTAATGTTTGTTTAGGAGGAGATTTCTCTTGAAAGTCTAGATTTCTAAATTCTCTTAAATAATATCTGGCACCATGGCATCTGGATTCTTACTTGGCTACAGCTATACTGTAGTGATTGCCCACTTTGTGGAGAGTGTGTATGTGCACTTAGCTCATGCCCAGTCAGCCTCAACTGGCTGCTGTTTTGATATTTAGTGTTACCGTCCCGAAGGCTGTAAGCATTTGTATTTGCTACCTCTGGGGGAATTAATGTTGCTTTCTAATCTTGAGATTCTGTGATGATCATGAAGATTTCAAGAAGAATTACAGTTTTAGTCCTAGTATACCTGCATAAAGTTGGGATGCAAAGGCCCCATTTGCTGGCTGGGAGTCACGGGCAGGGCAGCCTTTGCATGCAGCCCCTCTTCCTGGTGAAGTAGCCAGGGAACAGTGCTGGCCATGCTGAGGAGAATATGAGCCCTCATTGAGCCAGCTCACTTTTAAGTGAATGCTTTTAGTGCAGGTTTGTGGCTTTTTACAACATGGTAGGTTTTCTTTGTAATATAATTAAAGCAAAATTATTGTTGTCATGGTGTTTTAATTTCATACAAGCTTCAAAATTACTACTTTTGAATGAGAGGTATAATCAAGCAAGCTGGCCATGAATATTACCATTAAGTTTCAGTTTAGCCAAAGGATCATCACTGTAATATGCCAAATGACTTTCCATTTAAATCATGCCATTTTCTCTAAACTGTACTGTTTTTTGTGTGTTTAGTACACAAGAACTGATACAGGGTGTCATAAAGTATATTGAAATAAAATAATCATTTTATTCCTGTTAGGATTCTAAGTTACTTTTCTCTTAAAATACCTTCAAAACAAAACTCAAAAGTCTGTGGCTTGGTGGTAGTCAGTATTCAACAACAGATATTTTGCTGAGTACTCTTTTATGTAAAATATTGTCTTAGGGATATGAATAAACCTACAACACAGTCCCAACCCAGAAGGATTTACACTGACCTAATTGCTTTTGCACCAATGCATGTTTATTATATAATTTTTTTAGGATACAGATATGCTAAGACTTTATTGCCATCTTGCTAAATCTTTCACTGGTATAGGGTATGTGAATTGTCCTGAACCCAAGGTGTTGTTAGGGTTTCTATTCCTAGAATAGTCTTCCTTTTCAGATTTGAAAACTTAAGATAATAGGCCTTCCCCTTGCTTCTGTCTTTGCACCCTACATTCCAGGAGCCCAGGATGGAAGATGTTAGTAAGGCTTTTCTGAGCTTTAATTCTCAAGAATCAGCTTACTGCATATTTCTTTCTGTGATGCTCTGGTTTATGTTTGGATATATACCTAATTAAAGTCATCGTGCAATCTTATCAGCTTATTGTGTTCCTTTGATAACTGCAAGATGATCATACCTTTGAAAATGCCAAGTTGGTGGCAACAATACCAATAACAGCTGCCATGTCTGAGTGCTCACAATTTACAAAGCCATGTACCCTAAGGGGTTTCTGTACATTACCGCCTTTAGTCCTTCTAGTAGCCATGTGCAGTAGATATGAGTCTAGTCACTTTACATTTGAGGAGACTTGGGTTAAGAGGTTGAGTAACCTGTCCAAAATCACAAACTTGTTAGTATCAGAAATGTGTTTTGATGCCAAGATTTCTGATGCCAGCCATTATGCTGCATTGGAAAGGTAGTTGAGTCATTAAAAATAAAGTGTTTTCATATTATGCATGTAGTATATATATGATTGCAAAAAAATTAGGAAATATATAAAGGCACAAAAAAGAATCACCTGTAATTCCACCAAGCATAGAGAAACACTGTTAACATTATTTTATATATGTTTTTTCTGTTTTATGTACAGACATACATATATAGTAGATACTGCTCATTATCCACAGATTCTCACAAAACTTTATTTGTAACCCCAAAATCAATAATCATGATGCTTTAGCAGCCATATGTTGACATGCACAGAACAGCAAAAAATTTGAGTTGTCCCTCAGGCAACCAGCTGAGCTTGAACCTGGAGATGCTGTGTGGTCTCAGCTTAGTGCAGAGATGGTGGGGAGCAGTGCAGGCAGGAAGTTCAGGCTCTGGCCCTTGGAGAGGGTTTGAAACCTAACATTGGCACCAGTTACTGGGAGGGCCTCAGGCAAATTACCTAACACTTCTAAACATTCACCTTGTTTTTTCTTCTAAAATAAAGACAGTAGGACCTACCAAGATGACTTTATTTTTTTGGAGGGGGAGAGTTTAAGATTATTGTAATCTGAGAAATGTCTGTTTATGTATATATTTTTCTTAGGAACAAGGGTTCAGTATTCCCTAAGGCAGTGTTTGCAGTGACTGTGTAGAACATAACTACAGTGAATAACAAGAATCAATTATATATATGTAGAGAAAGAATTTCTTGTTACATGTGAATACACAGGTCTATATTTTCTTTTTTGATGTTAAAAATGGGCACATAAGTTGCTTTGTAACCTGCTTCATTTAATAACATTCAATCATTACCACAAAATACTGTTTTATTACATGATTTATGACATTCAGCATTTTGAGCACATACTGCATTGCCAGGCTTTGTGCTGGGTGTCGGGTGGGGGAGGTAGACATTGAACAGTCACCCAAATAATTAACTGATTACAAATTTGATAAGTTCTACAAAGGAGAAATGCAGGGTCTTACAAGAGTGTATAGAGGCTGAATCCAACCTCTGTTAGGGTCCTCGGGAGGCTTCTCCAGGGTGGTAACATTTAAGTTGGGAACTGCAGGATGGTCATGGTGAAGAGTGGGCAAGAGCAGTGGAGGCCGGGGACCATAGATAACCCCAATTTCCTACAGACCCTTTTTTTCTCTGGCCCCCTGCTCCTGACCCTTTTTTGACAAGTTTCAAGGTTCTCTCCTTAAAGGAATTTTTACAATTCTGGCATATATGTTAGTTTTTATAGACATTCTTAATTCCTTAGGACACATTTCTAGAAGTGGAGTTGTTTGGTCAAATAGATAGCTCTTTCTTTGAAAACTTTCATTAGATATTATTCAAACTGGGTATCCATTTATCCTGCTTTCAGTGACATAGGGAATTATAATTTAATATTTACTTTAGTAAGTTTGAAAAGGATAAAGCCTATTAAGTATTTTATTTACTGCTTCTCTATTGCTTTTCCTCATTTTAGAACATTTCAATAAACTTGTTTGATTTTTAAGTGCTACAAACAGTACATTTTCATGGTACTGTTTACATTGATGGGAAAGTAATCTCAGGAGACAGAAAGAAGATAAATTTTTAAAAGTATTAGAAACTTATCTACAACAGAATATAGGATAGTATATACTAAATAATTATGGGAAAGTAGCCTCAGTAGATAGAAGATAAAAAATTTTATATTATAAATATATAATAATATGTAATGTGATATAATAAATATGTCATAATTACCTAGGGCATACTATGGAAATATTAATTTTTTTGGAGGGCCTTCTAATACATCTGTGAAGACTTCTGCAAAGCTAAAACAACTAGAAGAGGAGAATAAAGATGCCATGTTTGTGTTTATATCTGATGTTTGGTTAGACCAAATAGAAGTGTTGGAAAAACTTCACACCATGTTCTCTGGTAGGTGTCATTTATTTCTATTTTTTTTTGAACTCTTATGAGAGGTCATGTCTTAAATTCTTATAAAATGTATCTTTTGAGTAGTCTATTTTTAAAAATCTGATTCAGGAGTGAGGTGTTTTAAATGAGTTCATCTTAAAGCCTTAAATTTTTACATTTGAAAGATAACTGTGTGTTTTTTTGTGATAATCCTAAGTATAGTCTTAGTGGGTAAGAGCCTGGGTTTTGGAGTCTGACAGAACTGGTTTAAATCGCAGCCTAATACATTGGGCAAGTTACTTATTCTCTTTCTTAGCTTATAGAGAGATATTATGAGGCTCAATTAAGCTATTGCAGGGTCTGGCCATAGTAAGTGCCCAATAAATGGTACTATAGTTATTATTATCTGAAAATAACAAGTTATAAAAATAGTGTAAATTTTTATTATTAAAAACTCATAATTATTAAAGGTTTTCTTTTTAACCTAATTTCTAGACTAGAAAAGTAATGTTCATTTATTCTCTTATTTTGAGGTTATTCACCAGCACCACCAACTTGCTTTATTCTGTGTGGTAATTTTTCATCTGCACCATATGGAACCAATCAAATTCAAGCTTTGAAAGGTATTGAGGTTCTATTGAATAAGTGTTTCTACATTTATATCAAACTAAGTTGATAAGAAATGATCTATAATATTTTAGTTTAAAAAAATGTAGGGTTGTATCTAATAAAATTTAATTTTTATCTTCAATATATGCAAATTAAATTTAACATCCCTTTAAAATTTTAGATTCCTTAAAAACTTTGGCAGATATAATATGTGAATATCCAGGTATTCACCAAAGGTAATGACTTCTACTGCTATATTTTTTTATATAACCAAAACTGTTTAACTTTAAGAAAAATGAATTTTGTTTAATATCAGTGATTATTAAGAAATGAATGGAAGAAAAAGAGTACAGTGAAATTTGAGAAAATTAGTACAGTGAAGAGATACATCATCACATCATGACAATATATGTTACTCTGTACTAGAGATTTATAATGAGAAGAACTAAAAGGAAGAGTGATAATTTTAACCATATTTGTAATTTCTTGGTGACATTAAGAGTCAAGAACTGCACTCTTCATTATAATAGTGACTGGCCACATGTGTCTCTTTAAACTTAAATTATTTAAAATTAAATAAAATTTAAAATTCTGTTACACCAGCCACAGATCAAGCACTCATTAATTGGACAATGGAGATGTAGAAATCTCCATCATTGCAGAAAGATTTATTGGACAGTGTTCGTTTGGAGACTTTTATTAGTTCATTTATTAAAATATGTGAAATTAAAAATTTTTTAAAAATTCATTACTTAACTAAATGTAATCATTTGTTTTGTAATTGTTGGATAGTGTTGCAATAATATATATATTTTTAATGAATTTTGTTATAGTAGTCGTTTTGTGTTTGTACCTGGTCCAGAGGATCCTGGATTTGGTTCCATTTTACCAAGGTAAGTTTTATTCAGATTTTTACAACAGTAAAGGAGATCTTACAGAATTTAAAAGTCTATACTGTTTCACATAAATTGTTTTTATAGGCCCCCACTTTCTGAAAGCATCACTAATGAATTCAGACGAAGAGTACCATTTTCAGTTTTTACTACTAATCCTTGCAGGTAAGTATTAGGATTTTGTGTTATGCCTTTTTTCCTTTCATTTAAAAATTCACTTGATTCTTAAAATTTGTCTCTAAATTTGACTGTTACAGGATAAATATATAATTTTATTTTCGGTTTCTCTAAACTTTGAAAATATTTTTAACTATATTTAAATAATTGACTAATAATGAATTTAGAAGCTTGAATAATGGATGGGGATTTTAAAATAGATATTCTCATTATACATCCCTTAAAAAGAGTCACAGTGAAGGAATGAAACAATTCACACTTGCTGTACGTGCCAGTTACTGTAATCATCGGCTCTTACTGAGGGAGATACCCTCAGTCCTCGGTACTCCTCTCTTCTTCTGCCTATGTTCACTCCTGGAGTGACCTCTTCCAGTCCTATGGCTTTCAGTGCCATCTGTGCATGGACAGCCCCCACATCTGTGTCTCCACCCAAGCTTTCCTCCCAAACTCCAGACTCAGGCATCCAGTTGTCTGCTTTATCCCCTTTGGATGTCTAACAGACAACTTCAAACTGAACTTCTGATCTTCCTCCCTTGTCCCCCCTGACCTGTTCTGGTGCTTTCCTCATCATAGCTTATGGCACCTTTATTTTTCCAATCACTCAGGCCAAAAACTTTGGGGTTTTTCTCATAAGTAGGACTCAGGTAGTCCTTCAAAAATTTGAAGGAAAACTTCAAAAGCTAGCCATAATCTGGCTGCCTCTCTACAACTCCACCTCTGTGGCCCTCTACCATCTTCTTTAACCTGGATTACTGTAATAGCCTCCTGGCTGGTCTCTAGCTTCTACCCATGCCCATCTATAGTCTATTCTTCACACTGTGTCAGAGTGGTCCTTTAAGTTGTAAGACACATCATGCCCCCCTTACTGATCCTGAGAGGTGGAACCCCTCCTGTCATTCAGTAACAGCTCATACCCTTGCAATGGTAGTCAGGGCTCTGTGTGATCTGGCTACCTATTCCTTCTCTCATTTCCTTTCCTCCTGCTTTCTCTTCTCATTTATTTCAGCCACTCCAGTGTCCTCTCTGTTCCTCAAACATGCCAGGCATGCTCCATCTTAGGACCTCTGCTTTACATGTTGCCTCTGGCTACAGTTTTTTTTTTCTGTGTCTCTGCTTGACTCTATCCATCTTTCAGGTCTGTGCTCAAATAATGCTTCCTTATGAGTCCTACCTGTTCTGATCATCCTGTTTAATACTGCAGCCTTCTAAACCTCTCTGCACAAATGATTCCTTTTAGCCTCTTTCCTTTTCCCATACACTTAATCATCTTCCACATACTATGTAATTATTATGTTTATTATTTGTATTCTATGACCTCCCTCCCCCTATTAGATTGACTGAGGGCTGGAATATTTTTGTTTTGTTTACTCATCACTGGAATAGTGCCAAACATAGAGTAAGAGCCCAACAAGTTATTGTTGATGAATGGATTGAATAGATTCTGGTTAAATTTTTGCCTGTGGTGAACAATGGAAAGTGGGAATAGCTTTGTATTACAAGGCATTTTATATTTTAAATTATCTCCTATTTTTTTCTGAAGAAGTAAAATTCAACTATTGTTTTCATTTCAGAATTCAGTATTGTACACAAGAAATTATTGTTTTTCGTGAAGACTTGGTGAATAAAATGTGCAGAAACTGTGTCCGTTTTCCTAGTAGCAATCTGGATATTCCTAATCATGTAAGTTAAGAGTCTTCCTTATTAAACTGTGCTATATATTAGATTATATAAAATTTTTGCATGCCTCTTAATAATTTGCCTTTTATGTTTGTTTATGGTCCACAGTAACTTGAACATACTTTTATCAATAAGTTAAGTTTTGTTACTAAGTCAGTGTTTCTAAACTTCCTCAGGGAAATATCCCTTAATAGGCAGAGGAAAGGCCAGAATAAGGAGAAAATCCTCTGAAGTTTTTTGTTTTTGCCTTTAAAATTCATAAATCTTACATTGTACATCAAAATATATGCATATGTTTTATTAAAATACTTGCTTATTAAATATTTCACATGATATGTCCACATCAGGAAAATGTGTAGTGTTCGTCTTGTAGCTTTGACACTCTCTGACATAGAATTATCAATGCCTGATTAAACATACCCCTATTTGAGAAGTATGAAAGTAGATCATACAGAGCATTTTTAGTATTTATAATGTTTAAAGCTTAGATAGGCTAAATATCTACTCTTGGCATTACTCAAACTATGGAATTATTTTTAGACAGACATAACTAATTGTGATTATTATACAGCTATAAGTACAATTGCTCCAATATGACTATTTAGGGGACTAGCTTTATGGCATAGGGTATTAAATGAAAACTCATAGATTTTTCCTAAAATACAGAATAGTTCATTTCACTTCATATCAGTATTTCCCAAAGCTCTGTGATACAAAGTTTCCCTGGTTGTTTCTCAAATTTTCTAAGTCCTTTTGGTTATTGATAGTTAACTACAAGTTGTTTCTTTGCTATTTTGTTATTTCAACTTTTACAGATGAACTGAAGTTTGTTTCTTATCACTTTTTTGTAGTTTGTAAAGACTATCTTATCCCAAGGACATCTGACTCCTCTACCCCTTCATGTCAGCCCAGTATACTGGGCATATGACTATGCTTTGCGAGTGTACCCTGTTCCAGATCTCCTTGTCATCGCAGACAAATATGATCCTTTCACCTTGACTAATACTGAATGCCTCTGCATAAATCCTGTAAGATGTAGTTAACGTTATATAGTCAGTTTGTCAAGATTAGTGTGTTACTTCGCTAAATTTAAAATATATGCTTAATGAAATTATGGTTGGAGTAAAAATATATTACTAATGAAATGCTGAATTAATTAGGTATACACAGGAAGTTCATAAACTTTCAGTATAGTGTGTGACTGTAAAGTAATGTGACTTTCTAAGAAAAAAAAAAAGCTTATAAATCTAAGAGTATTTTCCCCTTCAAAATAACTACTTACCTCGGGATTCCTTTCTGAGAACTGCTTCCAGAGCCTGTATCCCATTCTCTTTAAACATATTGATGGTACTTACTCTTTGAGGATGATTCTGAAAATCTAAGCCTAATGAACATGGAAATTCATATTGAGACACATTTCGTGTTTATGTAGAACCTTGAAATTGCTGCAGAATCTTGAAGTTGCTTCAGAATTTCTACAGATGATTGACTTTTCTAACTTGGGGAGTAAATACTGCATAAATGCTGTTGATGTCAAACCGAATTATCTTCACTAGTGATTTTTTAATCTGTATACTTGATTCTTGCAAATGTTAGATCTTAATACTTTGTTTTATCTAGGTTATCTCGAGAAATACCATGCTTTACTATTGGTTACTACTTTCCTCAAATGCATACTTTGTTCAGCTTTCTTTAAGACAGGGTTTCTCAATGTGGAAGTATTGACATGTTGGACTAACTAACTCTTTACTGGGGGCCCATCCTGTGCACTGCAGGATGTTTACCAGCTTCCTAAGCTTCTAACCAATAGAGGCCAGTCACAGCCCTCAGTCATAACAGTCAAAAATGTCTTAGGATCTTTGCCAAATGTCCCCTGGAGGACAAAATTGTCCCCTCATTAAGAACTGCTCTAAGGACAAGCATAGTTCTTATTTGGTTTCACTGTTTGAAATTTGTGGCCTAGTTTTTGTACAATCTTTATACACATTACAGTATTCTTTCCAAAGGAGGCCATTGCCTTATTTAACTCTTTGGGCATTCTCACAGTTAATACCTTATTTGCGAACACCTTATTTGTACATACATTTTTCCTTTCTCATCCTGTAGGTGACTAAACAGCCACCTCCTACACATCATTGTATCTTTTTTTTTTTTTCACCTTATTATGCCTTTTGGGCAAGTCCCAAACTTGCTTTTGACATTGCTTCTCCCTTCTTGATAGAAACTCCCATTAAATAAGTGCCTGCAGTGGGCCATGCCTTGGGTTAGTGCCAGGGGCACAAAAAGACTGAAAAGACTGAGTCTCTGCTCTAGTTTCATAGTGGACAGACAATTGTATGTGTGATTACTGCTCAGTTGCTTTGGGGCACATTGGAAGGCATCAAACCCAGATTTTTACTAGGGAGAGGGGCGGGAAAGAGTTCTTGAACATGATGTTTAAGGTCTCATATGCATATTTAGTATCATACAGTATTGTTTCTTATAAGCAGAGCTGCTTCTAAGCATTTCAGTCACATGTTAGCATAAGACTGTCTAGCCAACGTGAAAGATTTTTGCTTCAAGTGGAGATATTTTATAGTAGTACCTTCTCTATAAAGATCAGGCTGAAATGTATCTCATTACTTTATAGTCACACCTTATAACTTGAACTTTATTTTTAAGTCATGATCAAGGAATTTGATTCTAAAATTAGGAGTTCCTTATTAAAAGTTCAGTGATTATTCACTTACCCTGCTTTTCTCCCAAAGGGCTCTTTTCCAAGAAGTGGATTTTCATTCAAAGTTTTTTATCCTTCCAGTAAAACAGCAGAAGATAGGTAAGTGTGCCCACAGAAATAGCAAGGAAGAGCTGTCTCTTGTAGTTATATCGCTAAAACTCAGATGTTCTGTAGGTGTGTTGAGGTTTCTAAAAATGTCTGCAGTGGCCCATTGGGAATGTTCCAGGCTGAACTTAATGTGGTCATGCTGTGTGACATAGAATAGTATGTACTTCATGAAACATTTATGGTTAAATAGATCAAGACTGTTTTCTGAGGGAAATCTCACACCAGCTATGGAGGTAGGCTAGTTCTCTTGGAGGCCAATTCGTGATGATGATTTTTGTATGCTAAGTGGTTAACCCTGCCCTCCACATGGTTGATTCTCAAAACCTAGGTAATCTGCCTTACATGGGCAGCAAAGAAGTTGGAGGTGGGGAGCTGGGTGTGAGTGTGGTGATAGTGAGGGGTTACGGTTGAGGGGTGGTCTTGGGGAGAAAAGAGAACAGTCACCTGGTAGGTAGCAGATTTCCAAGGGTTATCTAAAGACCACCTACATCAGAATTCTCTGGGGTCCTTGTTAAAAATGTTAAGTTCCAGGATCCCACCCAAAATTTTTATCAAATGGCTCTCTAGTTGTAGGGCCCAGGAATATGTATTTTTGACACAATTTCCCTTGGATTCAATTTTTCAGTTAATTGTACTTTGACAAAGTTCCCACCTTTGGTTAAGAACTAATAGCCCAAATAACTGCCTTCCAGATTTTTATTAGGGAATACAGTCTTGAATGTACAACCCAAATGTCTATTTTTTGGCAATTAACATATTTATTCAATTAAAAATCAGTCAATACAAGTACATGATAAAAATTTCAAACAGTGCTTGCAAGTATAAAATTGAAAGGGATAAATATCTCTGCTTCCTAACACTGAAACCATGATTAAGAGTGTCTTATATATTTTCCTTGAAAAAAAAAAATTCTGCATTATTCTTGCTGCTCAATACTCACAGAGTATTGAAGTCCATTCACTTTATGAAGTAGTCTACATTTTAGTCTTGGATTCACTCATTTGACATATATTTAATTCTTCTATTTTAGTTTTGGAAATAGATACTCTCATGAAGGTCTCAGATATTCTAGTCTCATTCTATAAACCTCATGTGTTTGACTTTACCTTAGCCCACACTGAATCCTAAGAAAAAACAAAACTGATTGGAAATGCCTTTAGGTGAAGGCAAGTGCTTTTCTCCAGTCTCACCACTCCCTGTTGTCAGCACCTGGATGCTCCTGAAGGCGTATGATTTTGTGACCCCAGAATTAAGTCACCTCTGAGAACTGTCTGTCTGGGGCATATTTTGTCCACCTTTAGAATGATTTTTGCTGAACTGAGATTTGGTATAAAACTTACTGCTATGAAAACCAATACCAAGAACTTTCAATGGGCCTCAAGACGAGAGAAATATGTGTCCCTGGCAATTGTTCATTTATATTTATCCTAGGGAGACTGAAGTCTTCTAGACCTGCTTTACGTAGCTGCCAGGAAGCAGCCAGATGCAGCCTACCCCTACAGCTGCAGAGCAATTACGAGTGCAGACACTTGGTGTGGCCAGGCTTCATTTTTTCCAACTTGTATTTTCCCCTTACCTGGATTTCCAAATTTACTTACTTTTGTCTTTTTATTACATCTATCTCTGCAAATCATTTTATAGCTGAGCTTTTAAAAATGAATTGGGATATAAATAAGTATAAACTACAGAAGGAAATTAACTGATTTGTTAATTATGAGAGCATAATAAAAAGACACCTCATTTCTTGTAATATTCTGATTGCCATGCAGAATTTGGGTTCTAAGCATTTTATATGGGTTTCTGTGGCAGTTCTTAACTTATAATATTGTATTAGAAGTCACTTATGTGCCTGTCCCTCTTAATTAAAAGTGTCTAGTATACTACTTGACTTGCAGTTGACGCTCAGTTTACTGAGTTGAAATAGTTCATTCTTTTATCTTCTGTGGACTCAGATGCTGAAAAGCCTTAACATAATCTCTAAACTATAATTCAGTATTGATAATCTGAAGAATCTTTTCAGTGCTGGATTAAACAAGTTGATGTATGTTTATTTTTGAGAGAACAGAAAAAAATTTCAAGATATAATGGAATAATTTGGTCTTCCTGATACTTAGGTTTCTACTAAGAAGTCTTCTGTTAGAATATTTGTGAAATCATTTTGTAAAGTTAATCACAGAAATTCAACAAAGTAAATAAGGTTAATCTTATATCAACATGCACTCTTAAATAAAGTTGTTTTATTTGAAAACACGGTTACTAGAGATATAGTGGAGAAATATCCATTCTCACACACAGTTGGTCAGAATGAAAAATGGTAAAAACCTTTATGAAGGGCAATTTGACAAGATTTCATAAGATCTAAATTGCACAAACCATCAATTCCATTTCTAGGAATTTATCCTATAGGTACATTTGAACTTATGCATAAAAGTAGGTACAGATGTTTTATTATAATTCTTATAGTAGCAAAACAATTTACATGTATCCATTTAAATGTGTGTACTTATTCAGAACTCTTCTAATTTATTTAAATTTTAAAGCCTAGAAGGGATCATTTAAAAATAACCAATAAATATAATGTATTTATTACTAATTCAAAAAGGTATGGAATAGTGGTCAAAGTAGTCTACCCTTGTTTGTTTGTTTTTAAAGCATATACCCTCAGACGCATGCTCATATGTGATTAGACGATCTTTATAAGGATATGTAATTGCTTCTGGGAGGCAGAAATAGTGTGAGACTGAATTACTTTTTACTGTGTCCCCTTTTGAATTTGGAACAAAATGCATATTTTGACCTATTTTTTAAATTAACCAAATGTTAAGAAAAGTACCATTACAGGTTTCCAAAATGTTTCATTTTATGACTATTTTCTATTTTCAGCAAACTTCAAGGTTTTTGAAATTCTTAAAGACCATCTGAAGAAACAAAATTCATCAATTTTCTGCTTCAATTTATATTTTATGTAATTTTGATATTGTTAACAATAAAATAATGGTAAACTTCAGAAGTTCTGCTTAAATTTATATTTTGTGAAATTTTGATATTATAATAAACATAATAGTACACTTTACAAAATTTTATTGGAAAAGTATAGTTTCTGCATGTAAGATAAATTCTAGCTGAAATAAGCAGGTGATGAGAGGAAACAAAGGGCCAGGCAGTTTATTTGAGCGCAATTCTCGGGTGATATTCCCCCTTCTGGCTATCACAGGCTGGGGAAGTCACACTCAGCAGGGCAGACAGCTGAGTTTTTAAAGAAGGTAGGGGGAGGCAGAGCTTAGATTTACAGCAGTGTGAGGACTGGTTAGCCTAAGGCACATTTTTTCAGGTGGGGAGGGGGCAGCAGCCTGGGACTTTGGCACTTCATCAGTGTCTGACGTGCTCCCCCCTCCCCCCAGTGCCTTCAACCTTACATTGCATATGAAAATACATATAAAGATATTATCACATATATTTGCACTTAAAACCTGAAATTTCATTATTTCTATATTAGTCATACACTAATACTCATTTTAAGAAAAATGCAAGCATTTGAAATTCTCTGAATCATTGTTTTAGGTCCAACTCAGGTTTTTATCACCATGAGTCCTAATGGTATATTCATCAATTTTCAAATTATTTAAATTTCAAGTCACAGAACTTAATTCTAATGATAGTGAAAATCTTTGTTTCAGGGTATCACTGTGATACTCATTTACATAATAATCTTTCAGCACTGGAAATGTAAAAAACAGTCTATAGTTTTTATATGTAGAAGGCATAAGGTTTTCTTTGAAGTAGCATGTTTTGCTATTTGGGGTAATCACCGAACACCATCACCCTTAAGTATCATTTAGTTCATGGTGTTGTTAGGACAGCCCAGAAATAAATCTGAACGAGAGGAAGTTATTAAAGTACAAAAAATGCTTCAAATGTAGTAGTAATCTTAATATTACAAAGAGCCTGGGATGGAAGACTTTTCTTTCAAAGAAAATTAGCTTTCTGGGGAAGAGATACTGATACAAAATAAAAATGACCGTTTGCAGTAAAAAGTCCTCTAGGAAATTTTTTTATTTTGTTATCATGAATCTACAATTACATGCAGAACATTGTTTACTAGGCTCCCCCCTTCACCAAGTCCCCCCCACAATCCCCATTACAGTCACTGTCCATCAGTGTAGTAAGATGCTGTAGAATCACTTCCTCTAGGAAATTTAATCTTAATGTAGTGGTAAGTGAATTAGCAGTTAAGGATGAAGCGGCAATTTGAGATGCAGTTCAAGGATGGAAAATTGGGGGAGAATGTTAGAAGCTGGATATTAGAAGAGTAAGATTTAGCTTTAATTTCAAGGATAGCCTAGAAAACTTGATACCAAAAATGAAATCAGGGCTTAAGTTCAAAAGCTACTGGATTGTTGGGAAAAATTTAAACTGGGCCTTGAAAGTGGTAGTGAAATAGGCACTGTAACTGTGGGTCTAATTATGACAACCATAGAGCTCAGTATGAAAGGTGGTGGGTAGAAAGTTATAAATGGAAATTGGATATAAGGTGCCCTCTCATTCATTAAATAATCACTTCTGTATAGATGACCTTTTTGAGATCTTTTTACATTTAATGGCTAACATAGGGAGTAGTTAGGGGTTTGCAAGGCAATTAACTAAGAGCAGATAAACTGCCAGAACCAGACAGTAAGTATTAGAATAAGGTAAGGCAAACTAGAACGAGGCAGGGATCAGCATCATCTGGAAATAAAAGGAAGCAGAGGTCTGAAAGCTGGGACTGCAGAGAGGCAGCACTGAGAGGTTATCCTGGGCTTCTGCTTCGGGGAAAAGCAGAGGTAGCGTGCTCCCTGGCTTGATGTTTTGTCACCTGGAGCGTGGCTGAGCTCACTGCAGAGATGGCTGTGAGGCACTGTCCTTTAAAGGTGCACCTTAGAGCAGAGGCCACATAGACCCCATCGGATGGAAATGGGTAAGATTTCTCCACTTTGAAAAAGGCCAAGGCTTGGTTTGGTCTCAGCGTGGGGAAACCACAGGAACTGGAAAGACCTGAGCACCCAGGTCCCCCTATGGGTGGCGGTCCTGCCGCTGTTCTGCTTGAGCCACTTGTCACCATGTAGGAAGCATGGCCTACTTGGTCATTTTGGAGAACTCTGGATTTTCAGGTAAAGCATCCTTATTTAGCAAACAATCGTGACTAATTTCAATATAGACTGGACTGTGCTCCTGTAGTGCTTTTTCTTCCTTATAACAACAGGAACTTAATCATGTGTTTTGTAAAATATCCCCATTAAGGAAGATGAGTTGGGTGTCAATCATTCACCAAAATCTACTGTGGAATTTCCTCTTAATAGTGGTGGTGGTAGCTCAGAGCAGGCAGGGGAAACTTAAAATGGAATGTTTCATTCTGACCCTGTACACAATATATGTGTTTTCTGTGTAGCGTAGATCCCCATTACATTCAATGGAAACAATACAAGGTGTTCCCTCATTCATCAAATAATTGCTTCTATAAAGATGACCACTTTGAGATATTTTTACATTTAATGGCTTGAAAGATGGGTGCATTCATGGGTAAAGATCTACTTTGATTCTTGTACTTTAGGCTTCATTTTAAAACAGGTTTTCTGAATAAAAAGGGGTAGGCATTGAGGTCAGGGGTTGTAAACCACTTCTAATTATTATCCTTAATAGATGGATCAAATGTTTACTATGCCAGGCAATTTGGTCCCCATTAGTTTAGCCATTACCTTTAATTTATACATGAAGAAAACAGACACAAAGAAGTGAAGTAAGTTGCTCACACGGCTGGTAAAGGTCACGGCGGAGTTGACTGGTTATTTGGAGCCCAGGCATCTCACCCAAATTCTATTGTCCCACTGAGACAGGGACCGTGAGTGTAGTCAGAGTAGGGTGAGGGCCTCCGGAAAAAGACCCCTACCAAAGCTCCATATTAAACAATTAAACAAAGACAGAGTCATGTTAATTCTCTAAAGTAAAATATTAAACTAGGAATATAAGCATTCTTCAGTGAAGATTAGTTAAAACCAAAAAGCCAGGAATAACCTGGCTGGGAATGTTTGAACATCCTCCAGATAAGAAAATACCTCAGCATAGCCCATGTCTTGTTTGTGTCAATTAAATGACTATTGTGAAATTTAGCCTGCTAAAAGGCTCAGTTTATCTTTAACTTTACCCAGATGCTGCTTTTCCTCCTCCAGCCCTAATCAAGTCAGTAACTCAGCTCAGCTTGAAAGCAAAACAAGCAGCCTTGACTGATCTGCTCCCAAACCAAGAAACTGCTATTCTGAGAAAGGATCAAAACAGTAAACTTCTTATGTTAACCCCACAAAATAGTTTGGAAAGCCGATAAGAAACTTAGTGTCTCTTTAAAAATAAACACGTAGAGACCATCTGGTGGATCCACCTCCCTAACTCTTGGTCTCTCAACTGCCTATAAATCCCCTAGACAACGCGCCACCACAGACTCTCTTGTCCCCTCCTGGCATAAGCCGGGAGCTCTGTTCTTTCACTTTATAAAAGCCTGTACCTTGCTCTCCTACCTTGACTGTTTGTGAAGCTCATTCATCAGCTTTGTGAACAAGAACCCCGGCATCACCACCTCCCTCTACTTCCTGACTGAACAGAAATTTTCCTTACTCCTCACTACAGAAGCTACACAACACCATCTACCTAGAGCTGTTTTTTAAACTGTGGGTTGAACTCATTAGTGGGTTAAAATTAATGGGTCAGAGCAGAATATAAATTCCACTAAATTAAGTACTGTTTCATGGTACTGTTACTTGTTATGTAGCAGTCGGGAGTTGGCACGTTCTATCACAGCTGTCTCACTTGCTTAAGTCAGTAGGTCTCAGGCCACCTACTGGACTGTCACTTCCCAAGTCTCCTTGCTGGCATATGAAAAAATCGCAAATGCAGTACTTAGGGAAAGAGATGATGAAGCAATTTGTACTAAGAGGTTAATAACTGAGAATGGCTTTAATACATCTTTCTCTCCCAAAAGGCATTCATATTTTAATAAGGGTAGCCTTTCCTCAATGGATGAATTTTAAGGAGGGGCTCATTTGTTTTGGACACAGGAATTTTTCCAAAATGCCACACTGTCTTTTCCCAAAGAGCTTTTGGAAAAGGGATTTCACATAGTTAAGAAATTTGGAGAATATGTTTCTAAGTGATACAACCAATAAGGGGTTAACATCCAAAATATATAAAAAACTCATACAACTCAACACCAAAAAAAACAATCCAATTTAAAACTGGGTAGAGGATCGGAATAGACATTTTGCCAAAGAAGACATACAGGTGGCCAATAAGTACATGAAAAGATGCTCAGCATCACTAATCATTTGGGAAATGCAAATCAAAGCCACAATGAGATAGCACCTCACACCAGTTAGATGGCTATTATCAACAAGACAAGAAATAACTGTTAGTGAGGATGCAAGAAAAAGGGAACCCTCATACACTGCTGTTGGAACTGCAAATTGGTGGAGCCACTGTGGAAAGCAGAGTGGGGGTTTCTCAAAAAATCAGAAGTACCATAGGACCCAGCAATTCCACTTCTGGGAATTTACCTGAAGAAAACAAAATCACTAATCTGAAAAGATACATGCATGCCTATGTTTATCACAGCATTATTCACAAAAGCCCAAGTACAGAAGCAACCTAAATGTCCATCAATAGATCAATGGATAAAAAAGATGTGATATGTATGCACAATGGAATATTACTCACCTATAAAAAAAGAAATCCTGCCATTTGTGACAACATGGATATACCCAGTGGCTATTATGCTAAATGAAATAAATCAGAGTGAGATGAATGCTGTATGATTTCACTTATTTGTGGAATCTAAAAGCAAAACAGATGAGCAAACAAGCAAAACAGAAATAGACCCAAACACAGGGAAGGAGTGGTGGTTGATATAAGGGAGAA